TGCTGTTCTGTTAAACTGCCCTTTCTCAACCCACGAGTTTTGCCTTTTTCTTCCGATTCATCTCCACGGCTGTGGGGGTTGAGTGAGCAGCTGCATGGTTCTTTGTTGCCGGCTAAGACCAAACCATGACAGATGGTCATATTCAAGTAATGAAGATTTAGACACCCCTAACAGAAAGCTGTCCCTCCCAGAAACTGGTCCTCACAGTTATGGTTTTTACATGTATTTATCCCTTTTCACAAAGGGGCGTTTAAACTCCCATTAGTCTGCCAAATTTATTACATTCTGTCTACCTAAATATTTCCCGTCATTTCAGTTGAATGTGGCTTTTTCTGGTTCTTTTTCTTACAACTTCTTAACTGTCACACATTCTCTCTGAGCTGGCTAAATGTCAAGGGTGGAATAAATTGTTACTCACATACTGTTATTTGTACAACTGTAGTATTTGGGTTGGGGACCAATATCCTCTCGTACTAGGTAGGCACAGCGCAGACCCAAATCTGAATGATGGTCACTGTTCCAAAGAAGTCACAATGTTGATGTGTTGAACCATTTTATAAAAAAATCATTTGGAGATGAAAGCTGCTTTAAAGATAAATGTAGGATAATTATATTGAGTATTACTTACTGATATATATTTCTTGCATAAATTTGATTCCTGAAAATGCCATTGTTAATAGAGATCTTGCATCTTATTTCCCTTATTGCTGTCTCAGTAGCATTTTATTTCTGATGCCTTAATAATTCAGTGTACTCCGAAAGGATAAAACTGAGGGAATTGACTTAACTAATTAGACCCTGGTTTGTCTGGCTGTCCAGCACCTGACAAACATGTCTTTGACATAAACAGAATAAAACATTTTTGCCATTAGCCACTTTCAAATCTCTGCCAAAATAGCTATTTGTAATTATTGAATTCTCAGGGCATATTGTGCTGAGTAAGGCACCAATTCAGGATTTTTCTTTTGCCATTGTGACTCCTCCTTCCTGTCTTTGTTGAAGTGGTATCATATTTAGTAGCTTCACAAAAACTTAACAGCAGTGCACTTATCACCCTAACAAATTGAGTATTTCTGAGAAAGTGGAAATGTTCCAATTTCAGTTTCTGGTTAATGACACACCAATATGGGTTCTGAATAGTCAGTCTTTGTGTTTTCAAACCTGTAGAAACTTGAATAAAGCTTATACATAAGAGCAATCAACTCTGATAGCAGTAGGCTAAATATTGGCTTCTGAAAATAAATTTTATATGAATCTATTCTCCAGACAATTTGACTCTTAAATGTTTAAAAATGTGACATCTTTATATAAGTGAATACAGATTGAGGCAGGAGCTATAAAAACTTGAAGTTTCCATGCATCAGCTACTTTTCACTGTCACCTGTTAAACAGCACTAGATACAATGCAGGCTTTATTCCACTGCAATAATTTACTGCCCTTCTGACCTATAAACAGATAACCGTTAGCATGAATTGATACTGTTAGATGTTTGGATACATTCTCAAAGGTAATTCACAGTTTTAAATAGCATATGTATGAAATGTTTTATTACCCAGCATTTGGGAAATGGCAGCATTACATTTCCTTGAGCAGTGTTCTGGTAGTAACGATTTGTCACTGCAGCCCTGTTACAGGGCTTCCTGAGTAAGCATCCTCTATTTTCATCTCCTTCTTGAATGCTCTATCCCTACATAAGGACCACTGAAAAATTCATTAAGCACCTTCCTTTTCGTCAGTGCTTTTCTAGAGGAAAAAGTTTTTGTGCAAAAAGTTTTCAGTGACCTCAGTTATTGATTTACACTTAGAACTTCATTGCAGTAAGGGGGGGATGCTCCATTAGAGAATTTGGGAGTGAATGTAAGCGGATTCTTGTCCTGCATCTGCTACTGACTCACTCTGTGACCTTTGGATAATTACTTCAGCTTTCTGTGCCTCACCCTAGACGAGAACAAGTCTTATGAGGAGCGACCGAGGGAACTAGGGTTGTTTAGTCTGGAGAAAAGGAGGCTGAGGGGACATCTTATCGCTCTCTACAGCTACCTGAAAGGAGGTTGCAACAAGGTGATAGTTGGTCTCTTCTCCCAAGTAACAAGCAATAGCACAAGAGGAAATGTCCTCAAGTTATGCCAGGGGAGGTTTAGATAGGATATTAGGAAAAATTTCTTCACAGAATGGGTTATAAAACATTGGAACAGGCTGCCCAGGGAAGTGGTTGAATCCCCATCCCTGGAGGTGGGCGTTGCCAGAGAAATGGTGGGAGATTTAAATGCAGGGTAACGGAAATTGTCAGAGGTGCTCCGGAGCCGGGCTGACCTGCAGTGGAGCGGCAGAGTTCAGCGCAGAGGCAGTTTTCCTGAGGAAAGGACACGCCAGGGCAGTGGAGAGAACTGCCAGGAGCCGGCAGCTCTCATGGGAGGTGCTGAGGAGGCCTGGGCACTGCCAGAGCAACGGTGACCACCCCCTGCCTACAAAAAAACACCCTAGGGAGCTGAGCGACCAGGGCATGGCACGTCAGTTCACGCGAGAAGGGCGCCTTTTTGAACGAGGGGCATTGCGCTGGTCGAGCACTGGGCACCATTCTGTGACTGGGTCAAGGGCACTCAAGACAGAATGGTGGGCACACATCTGAGAGCAAAGGCTGCAGCTTGAGCTCGGGGCTCTGCACCATCTACCCCAGTGGTGGCTGATGCCTCCACCCAGATGGAGCTGCTGAAGGGAGAGGCTGCAGTGCAGATCTCAGACTGCAGGAGGTGCCTGGACCTTTCTTACGGAGCAGGGATAGATGGCACAACTGCCTGCAAAAGGTGTGCCCAGGTGGAAGATCTCCTGCAGCAGGTGGTGAGGAGGCTGTGTAGCATCAGGGAGGCTGAGGAGGAGATAGACAGCTGGTTACAAGCGCAGCCTGAAGTGGGCTCACAACCCATAGCCAAACAGTCAAAAACTCCCATGCTGGCACACACAGAAGGAAGGGAGGCCAGTAACACAGAATGGAAGCTTGTAACTGCAAAGACCAGCAGGAGGAAGAGAATTCCCCCAAAAGCTAAGGTGCCCTTGCAGAACCGCTTCACTGCTCTGCAGAGTGAAGAAGCAAAACCTACTGTATCGGGAGAGGCACTGGATCTGAGTAAGACTACCAGATCTGCTCCATGTCTAAAAACCAGTGCAACTAAGAAAAGGTGATGGGCATAGTTGTAGGCGAATCTCTTCTGAGAGGTACAGAGGCACCCATTCGGTGCTCTAACCCTCTGATCATCTTCGTGGCCCTTCTCTGGACCTGCTCCAACAAGTCCATGTCCTTCTCATGTTGGGGGCCCCAGAGCTGGATGCAGTACTCCAGGTGGGGTCTCACAAGAGCAGAGGGGCAGAATCACCTCCCTTGACCTGCTGGCCACACTTCTTTTGATGCAGCCCAGGATATGTTTGGCCTTCTGGGCTGCAAGTGCACATAGCAAGCTCATGTTGAGCTCCTCATCCACCAACACCCCCGAGTCCTTCTCCTCAGGGCTGTCCTCAATCCATTCTCCACCCAGCCTGTGTTTGGTCTTGGGATTGTCCTGACCCACGTGCATGACCTTGCGCCTGGCCTTTTTGAACTTCATGAGGTTTGCACAGGCCCACCTCTCCAGCCTGTCCAGGTCCTTCTGGATGGCATCCCTTCCCTCCAGCATGTCACCCTCTCCCCACAGCTTGGTGTCGTTGGCAAACTTGCTGAGGGTGCACTCAGTCCCCCCGCCCATGTTGTCAACAAAGATGTTAAACAGCACCGTTGCCAGTACCAACCCCTGATGAAAGCCACTAATCACTGGTTGCCACTTGGACATCAAGCTGTTGACAGCAACTCTTTGAGTGCAGCCATCCAAATATTATTTAGCAATCGTTAAAACAATATGTGTTATCAACATTCTTCTCATACTAAATCCAAAACACAGCAGCTCCTAGAAAGAAAATCAACTCTATCCTAGCTGAAACCAGGACATATGTACAAACTACCAAGAGAACTGCTGTGCTGTAGAGAACCAATACCAGATGTGATTTTGTCTCAACACTGCCGCTGTGCCACCATCTTCCAAGGTCAAGCATCATGCTCCAGGAGGACCATCTTCTTCATGGTTTTGGAGGTGGACAACCTTGTGTGCTTGCGCAGGGACTAAGGGCGCGAAAAGAGCAGGAAGAAGCTTGTAGGGGAACAGCACCTCTGGTACACATTTGCGATCTGCTCATGAGCAAGACCCATATATAAGGAGCATGCATCCTTTGGCAGGCCCTTTTGTTCTTCCTTTCTCCTCCCCTCCCTGCCGCACGCCTCCGGACTATGCAAAACGTGTAACGATTGAAGACTTCGGACAGAATCAGCAGAAAACTGTTGGCCTCAGGGTGGTAGTAGCGAACCTTTTCCCTTTTTTTCTTTGTTTTCTTCCTTAACCCTTTTCCTTTCCCCTTTGCCTTCCCTCTGCCTCCCTTTTTACCATTCCTTCGCGGTTTGTTAAGAGAATTAAGTAAAAGGTTGTACGACATTTGACCGACTTCAGTGTCTTAATCTCGTCCTTGGGACTATAACGAAACCTTCCCGATATTGGATCAGGACATTAAAATGGCGTCACGGACAGGATCCCTTGAGACGAGAGTGTTGTACAACCTTCTGGTGTGCTGAGCAATTGTGTGTGAATGAGACGTACTAACAAATACAAAGCGAGTGTGGAGTTCTGATCCGCGGTTCTGCTCTCCCACAAGGGAAGCAGACGGAGACAAATGAAGCATAAGGAAGGAGTGAATGTTGAGAACTTCACATTAAAACTTATACACTAGTTCACGGTTTGGCCTCATGAGGAAGTATAGGGGAAACTTGGATTTTACAGTGTGACCTCCTCAGGATGATGTCCCCTTTGTAGGCTATTTGTTGTTTAGTAATAGGTTACGGTTTGTCCTCCTGGGAGTGTATAGGGGAACCTTGAATTTTTCTTTGTTTCCCGCTCCCAGGACAAATTCCCCTTTGTAGGACATGGCCGCCGAGAAGGCAGGTGATTTTTGTGAAGAAACAGAAAAATTATATGATCTTTTGGAAACATATCGCTCTCGCCCTTCACTCCCGGGACGAGATTGGGCACGGGACCATTGGTTCCAACTGCAAGGTTTCGTAGACCGAATAGTGGTCTTGCATAAAGAAGCTAGACTTAGAAAGGGAAAAGGGAAAGCTACCATTTGTGCTGTGCTAGGAGCGTGCTTGGTGGCTGCAGTAGAGGACAGGAGGCAGGCGCCCGGCCAAGCGGAGGCAGTGGTGGCCTTGATACAAGCAGCACTAGCGCCGCTGCAGGAACAATTACTAGAAACCAAGCGGGCGCTAGAGGAAGAAAAGTGCCAAAATTTAATATTGAAAGAGGAGCTAAGAGTTCAGCTCCTGAGGGAGGCAGACACCCTCACCGAGACAAAGGTGATGCCGGAGGGAAAAGGGCTACGCCCAATTTACCCTCAGGAGGACTTAAAAAGATTAAAAGACGTCATAGATGACCCCCCCCCACATATGCTCACTGGTAAAAACAGACTACATATATGAGGATGATAGCGACAACTGCCCCCAGGTTGTCACCAAAGAAATTCCCTTTATTGACACTGAATTGGCCAAATTACGGAAAGATTTTGCTAGGACGGCAAGAGAGTCCGAAACCAAATATGTGTGGAGGATATCCCTGTCAGGGGGGGACGGCATCATGTTATCAGAAAAAGAAGCAGAGGGATATTGGGGCCCCGGCGTCTTCCTCACAACGGGCGACCGCTGAGCCCCATGGTCTCTGACCCAGAGAGCCGCATATTGGGCGGGGGGGCTGAACCCATTAGAGAGAGGGGATCCTCTAGCTATAGCAGGTTCTGCTGATCAGTTATTGGAAAATGTACAGAAGGTGGCTTGCCTACAAATGATGCATGATCGGGAACTCAAACCCAGCCTAAGCTCCCCGATGTTATTGCCGGTAGATCCCGAGCGAATGACACCTCTGATAAGAGGACTCCCCGACTCACTAAAACCTATCGGGA